GCTAAATCCCTCCCTGCAGCTGCCGCACTCTAGGCTGGGCAGACCCTCTCTTCAAGGATGTGGGCAGGAAATAGGGAGCACAGAGGGATCCTCCCAATGGCTGGGGGCATCTGATCATGAAGTGATGTGAAAACCCCTTGTTGGGAAGGCACAGTGGGCAAGGTGGTGTGATTACTGGACCTGGGAATCTCTTCGTGCTAACTGGCCTTGGAAACATTTCATCAAAGGTGAGGGAGGGGCTCATGAGGCCCCCACCCCTTCCTGAGGAACTACTGGCAGTTAGTGGTGGCTGGGGGAGGGGTGATGGAACCACTGACAAGTCCCCTAGTCCCCAGTAAATAACCCCCATGGGTGTTCATGCGGGCAGCCCTAGTTAAATTCAGTGGCTCTCAGCCGGGCGTTGGTGGCGCACGCCTTTAATCCCAGCACTCGGGAGGCAGAGGCAAGCGATCTCTGTGAGTTCGAGGCTGGGCTGGACCGACAGCCTCCAAAACAATACAGAGAAACCCTGTCTCATAAAAACAAAAAAACAAAAACAAAAAAATGCAGTGGCTCTCTCTCTCAACACACAAATAACCATCAAAGTAGGCGGGACCAGTGGGAGAGGGAGGAAGGGACCGAGGGTAATGGGTAAGAGTGACCAGACTCCATTACATACATAAATGAAGTTATCAAATATAATAATAGTAACAATAATAATAAAGACGGGGTTTGAGGCTGTTCCCTTCAGGGCGAGTGTGTATGCAGCAGGACCCACTGAGAGTATCCTGGGGGGGGGATCTGCAAAAGCCGCAGCTGGGGTAGGTTAGAGCGGGAGAGTTTGCAGTTGAGATGAACCCTTGAAAAGGCCAGCTGGGAGGGTGGCAAGTCTGTCCCCAGAGCGGGGACTGAAGGCTGATGTCCCCAGATCAGGAGCAAGTGGGGGAAGAGTGACTAACCGGGAGGGAGCCAGGAGGGACTGAAGGAGTAAGGGTTCTGGGAGCAGTGGGGACCAACTCAGGACTCAGCCCTGGAGGGAGCTGTGGGAGCCTCCGCTGGGCAGAAGGGTGGCTGAGGGGGATGGCCTGAGAGCTGGGGGAGGGGGAGAAGAAGGGAAGAGAGCCTGAAAGCGACAGGGACAGGAAAGGAAGGAAAAAGCCCAAGAGGCCTGGGGGGGGGAGGGGGAGGAGGGGGGGAGGCTGTGGGGGATGGAGAGGGAGGAAATGAGATAAGGTGGGGGTGAGGGCAGGAAGCCTAGATGGAAATGGGGCCTGTGCAGGGGTCGCTTTGTCCCAGCCACCCGCTTGTGACCCACCCAGCTCTGCTGGCCAGAGAAAACAAGGCTCCTGGAGGACAGGGGTAGGAACCACACAAGGGGGTTCAGTTAGAGCCAAGTAGGAGCTTCTCATTAGGAGGCTTGCAAGGAAGGTCCCCTCGTCCCAGAGGAGCAGCCCATGCCTCCTCCAGGCAGGAGACTAGCCACCACGGCCCTCTGAAGGTATGGACGATGTTCGCAGACCCAGCAGCTCAGCAACTCAGCCTCTCTCTGGGTCAGAGCTGCCCGCAGTGAGTGTGGCAGGCAGGAAGGGTCTCTTCAGGCCGAGCTGGACAGGAGGCCAGGGTGTGCCCAGGTGGATCCGTACCACACCCTTTGTTGAGTTCAGGAAAGTCAGGAAAGGCCACTGGAGAAAAGGGGTGGAGGGCAGGAGCTGCCTGGGTGTTTCCAGGGAAAATCTGATCTTTTCATGGAACAGGCAGTTAGCTGCCGGCCCTCCCCGCCCCTCCCCCCTTCCCATCTCATCTCCACCTCTGCTTCTCTTTCTTCTTCCCTCGCCTGCTAGCATCAGGACAAATGGTCTCTCTGTAGCAACCACCCCAGCACTGAACCTGGGGTGGCAGCAGGCAGGGCAGGCCTGTGTGTTCGGGAGTGTGCAGAAGTATTGTGCCCATGCGAGCGTAAGACTGTGTGCATTGGGGCTGGAGAGATGGCTCAGAGGTTAAGAGCACAGACTGCTTTTCTAGAGGTCCTGAGTTCAATTCCCAGCAACCACATGGTGGCTCACAACCATCTGTAATGAGATCTGGTGCCTTCTTCTGATGTGTACATGGAGGCAGGGTGTTGCATTCGTAATAAATAAATAAATTTAAAAATAAATAAGATAAAAAACAACACTTAAAAAAGACTGTGCATTGACATGTATATGAGTGTGTCACATATGTATACAAATGTGACAGAGATAATGAGCATGCAAGCACAGGTGTGTGTGCACACAAGTGAATGCTGGCGTGAGTGTGCTTGTGAACACTTGGACGCATGTACACACACACACACACACACCGCACACACCGCACACTACTGCAGCTGATAGACCCCAGGTGCTTGTGAGAAATGGAGACAGCTTGGCTGTGGTCATCAATGCCACGGTTGAGTCAGAAGCAGGTTTTGGGGTGGGGAGGTGGGGGGAGGACTAAGTTGACTACTTGAGGCTCTGGGTTTGCTGTTTGGGGCCAGAAATGGCTGGGGTGATAAATATGCACCACTGTCCCATGTTGGAGCCTGACTTTCATCTGCACCATGAGGCCAGCACTTGCCTGCTTCCTGAATCTGACGTCGGTGTCACAGAGAAGCAAGGCAGGAAGGGCTGGCACATGCCCTGAGTCCCTGGAGACCTGCGGCACTCTCCCGCCCCAGGAGGAGATGGAGCTTACAGAATGCCAACTGCCCCACATCTGGCCAGCGGCCAACCTGAGGTTACGAGACCCCAGGCCTGATTGATTTTTGACAAAGCCTCAGGCATCTTCTCCAATTCAAAGCCACACAGTGAAACACAGTGCCTCAGACCCTCCTCCCTCCAGGGCTCTGAGCCTCAGCACCTGGCCCTTGGGGAGTAGGCCCTCTGAACCCATGAGAGTTATGATCCTTTCTCTCTTTTTCTTTTTCTTTTCTTTTCTTTTCTTTCTTTCTTTTTTGGTTTTTTGAGATAGGGTTTCTCTGTATTGTTTTGGAGCCTGTCCTGGAGCTGGCTCTGTAGACCAGGCTGACCTTGAACTCACAGAGATCCACCTGCCTCTGCCTCCTGAGTGCTGGGATTAAAGGCATGCGCCCCCTACACCCAGCTGAGAAATGACATTCTGAATATGGAGTTTCTTTCCAGTATGGTCCTGCTGTTGATTAGCCCCAAATAAGCTCACTGAGACATTATTAAACTGTTTGGTAGATGGCTTACGCTTCTTATTGGCTAGCCCTCTCTTAATTATTAACCCACTTGTATTAATCTAAGTATTTCCAGGTGGTCTTATCGCACAGGAGAAGGGTCGGGACCTGTTACTCCTTCCTCGGTTACATGGTGTCTCTTGCTGGCCGCTCTCTGCATCCCCTCCCCAGCCTTCTCCTCTGGTAGCCTGCCTATACTTCCTGCCTGACTGCTGGGCAATCAGTGTTTTATTCACCAACCAATAAGAGAAACATATATACAGAAGGACATCCCTCATCAACAGTCGGATACGGGTCTTGAAGGCTAGGTAAGAATTGTCCAATTACAGCTGTGTCTCCTCATTGGATAAATCTTGCTAGGTTTAGTTACTGGGGGTTGGTGGAAGGACATGTTCTTAGATGTCACAAGCATAAGTGCTGGGGCAGGAAAAGACAGACATGTCCCAAGAAGTGAGTGGACCTACAGCTGGGAGGCAGGGGTGGGTAAGGGAGGTAGGAGATGAGAAGAGAAAGGAAGTTAGTGCCTGTCACGATGCCTTGAGCCAAGGGCTGGGCATCTTGCACACACACACATGGTCTATGATGGACTGCTGTATTTGGACAAAAGCCTCAGAGTCATCAGCCCCACACCCTGGCTGGCTCTATAATATTGCATGTAAAATGATACCTATTTATTGTCTCTTCCCTGGGCCAAGCCCAGGCTGGACCTGTCCAGAGGCTCCATCAATTGGTCCAGTACAGTAGAGCTCCCTAGGGAAGGAACTATTGTGGCCCATAAATAGGTTAGGCGGTCAGGAAACGGGAAATCCTGAAACACAATGAGAAGCAGTGCACAGAGGCTTCCTCTAGGCACAAGACTGGTCTGAGGATGCAACTGGGGCCAACAGCCTCTCTCCCTGAAGTAAGCCTCCCTGACGGCTGGCCACAGACCTGTGCTCTTACCACAGCCTTTAGGGACACTCACCCCGGGGGCAGCTCAGGACAGGCCATGAGAAGCTAGGACAGGCAGTGGAACAGCAAGGGGACAGTGGACATCTCCCAGATGAGCCCTGGCACCAGGCCAGTAGGGATTGATGGGGCAGCCAGGCTGGGCCAGGGAGCAGGATGACCCTCTATGTGGTCCCTGAGTGCTTCTGCCAGGCCCTCAAACCACATTGACCTGCACACTTATTATCCCAGGCTACCCAAAGGATGCAGGAAGATCAGGCTAGTCCTGTGACACAACAGTGGACACAGGATGTGGCCCCTCATTAGAGAATCAGGAAAAATAAGAAAGCAGACAACAAAACTCAGTGTCCCTTAAGACCTTAGTGTTGCACACAGGGCAGGTGAGATGGCTCGTTCAAGCCCAAGAACCAGAGGGAAAAGAGAGAACCAACTCTTACAAGCTTTCCACTGGCCTCCATACGCATGTTGTGGCATTCACCTGTGTGTATGCTGTGTGTGTGTGTGTGTGTGTGTGTGTGTGTGTGTGTGTACAAAACATTAGTATGTCAGGGCTGCTGGGGACTTTTCTTTGTATTTTTCTGTGCTTTTTATTTTTTCTACAGTAAACTTTGTAGTCATAAAAAATAAAACTAAAAACTAAACAAGCAAACAAAACACCTGAACACCCACGTCCTATAATAGAAGGTATTTTGTATCTTTAGCATGAGCTTTTAAATGAGTGTGAAAATGTGGCTAGAAGGTTGTTGGAAAAACAGGATACAAAGCTGTATACATGGCATGTAAAGGATGAGCTGGTGAGACAGGGATGGGAAGGAAATGCTGATGTCATAAAGGCCCTGTCACCTACAGGACAGTCCACCTTCCGGATACACCAGGCTGCCCCAGCAGTTCTGGCAATTCCAAGAACACCGGAGAGAATTTTATTGTCATCGCTGCACCCTGACTGAGCCTTCTTACAGCACTCAGTAAGGTAGAAAGCATGGGTGTGAGCTTATGGGTTTCCCGAGACTTCCTTTAGTGAGTATCTGTTACTGCTCACAACGTGTTCCTTTCAAAGCGAGTTACAGCCACCAGCAGGTTTCACCTCTAAACCGAGCATGGCATCTTGAGTTCAACATTTCCTTCTGGCTCTGTTTAAAGTGAAATTTATGTATGGCAATGTTGTGACTAGTGTTTCACTTGATAGATTTTTTTTTTTTTTTGGTTTTTCGAGACAGGGTTTCTCTGTGGCTTTGGAGGCTGTCCTGGAACTAGCTCTTGTAGACCAGGCTGGCCTCGAACTCACAGAGATCCACCTGCCTCTGCCTCCCAAGTGCTGGGATTAAAGGTGTGCGCCACCAACGATTATAACAAATGCTGCTATGACACAGAAAGGGCGACTTCAGAAAGTAGTCTCTGTCCACCCCAGCCCCAGAGGCAAGTGTCATTTCATATGCATCATGGATTCACTTTGACTATGTGGGGACATCTTACCAGTGAGATCACACAGTGTGCCCAGCTCTTCCATTCACCACAGTGTCTGCCATTCACCTGTACCATCACATAGTCTGCTGGTTTCCTTTGTTTTAATTTGGTTTTTTGAAACAGTGTTTCTGGCACAGCTATCCTGGAACTCTCTCTGTAGGCCAGGCTGACCTCACACTCAGAAATCTGCCTGCCTCTGCCTCCCCAATGCTGGGATTGAAGGCGTGCACCACCATTGCCTAACTGGTCTGCTGGTTTTCACTGTTGAATATTCACCAAATATCTTGATACTCAGGCTGTTCATCTGCTCCCTTGTTGGTGAGCACCCAGGCTGCCCAAGACTTGTGTTTCTTTTGGCTGACCTAATTTGTTTTTCTTTTTCCTGTTAATTTTGTAGAAGCAGTTTGATTATTAAAGTTGGATACTATTACACACACACACACACACACACACACACACACACACGCACACACACACACACACACACACGGACATGAAGCTGCTGCTGGTTTAGGAGAGAAAGGAGACAGGACCATGACTGCAGCTGCTGCAGTGGCCTTGCCAGTGACGTCAGGCTTTGCTTGCTGAGAGTCTGATCTGCGCACTCTTCCCCTCTAGCCCTCTCCTGCCCTGTTTCCCACATTCTGTGCTCCCTCCCTGTCTACCGTGCTCCCCTCCCTATCTACTGTGCTCCCCTCCCTGTCTACTGTGCTCCCTCCCTGTCTACTGTGCTCCCCTCCCTGTCTACCGTGCTCCCTCCCTGTCTACTGTGCTCCTCTCCCTGTCTACCGTGCTCCTGCTGCTCTGCCCCCCCCCATGGTACACTCTGAGTCTTTGTCTTTCAGAGTCGCTCTCTCTGGAGCATTCTTACCCAGCTTTCTCTCGATTTTCCTTCCTATATTGGTTCCCTAGGCTACTGTAACAAATGGTACCAGACACTCAGAGTCTTAAACACAGAACATCTGTTCCCTCACAGTTCTGGGGCCACAAGTCCCAAGTCCCAGCGTGTAGGGGGCCACCATCCAAGGGCTTTGAGGGAAACCTCCAGTGTTTTCCAGTCTGGTGGCTCCAGATGTTACCTCTTGTCTCATGGCTGCCTCTGTCTTCACATGACTTTCTCCCCCTTCCGTGCCACCGGCCTCCATCTCTCCCTTTCTCTGAGTACGCTAGGCGTATGCTCCGCCTGCCCCAGAACCATGCTCCCTGCTCTCCTTTGCAATATATATATATATATGTATATATATATATTTTTTTTCGAGACAGGGTTTCTCTGTATTGTTCTGGAGGCTGTCCTAGAACTCGCTCTGTAGACCAGGCTGGCCTGGAACTCACAGAGATCCACCTGCCTCTGCCTCCCGAGTGCTGGGATTGAAGGTGTGCATCACCAATGGCCGGCATCCTCTGCGCTATTCTTATAAAAAGACATTTACTGTACTTGGGACCCATGTGGATAATCAACGACGACCTCATCTCAGGTATTTGATGACATCTCCAAGAAGCTTTTCCCCATTTAAGACGCATACACAGTTCTGGGGGCAGATGTGAGAGGGACAGTGGGAGGCAGATCTCTGAGTTCGAGGTCAGTCTGGTCTACAGAGTAAGTTCCAGGACAGTCAGGGCTACACAGAGAAACCCTTTCTTGGAAAAACCAAAATAATAATAATAACCAAAATATATTCATCCCATGTACCTTTCTCCCCAAATCATAATCTATCACAGCATAAAAACAAATTCAAGGGGCTGGAGAGATGGCTCAGAGGTTAAGAGCACTGACTGCTCTTCCAGAGGTCCTGAGTTCAATTCCCAGCAACCACATGTTGGCTGACAACCATCTACAATTCAATATGGTGTATATGTAATAAATAAATAAATCTTAAAAAAATTCAAATATCCATTTAAAGATATTCTCCTCTTCCCATAAACCCAGCACTCGGGAGACTGAGGCAGGAGGATATCCCATCACTGGTCCAAGGCCAGCCTAGGCTATGCAGTGATCTCCAGGACAGCCTGAGCTGCCAAATGAGACCTCATTTCAAAAATCAAAAGCACAGAAACAAAACCAGCCAAAGAATTGTTCTCTCAGAAAAGGTTCATATTTCATTATCCACTGGCGACATGGGTGGAAATCTGGGTAGTCTCTCCTAAGGCAAATTTCTCTCTACATATGAGCCCAGAAATCCAGATGTGTTTCCTACTTCCAAAATACCACGTTGGGAAGTCAGAGGACAGATGCTTCTACTCAAAAGGGAAAATAGAAGGAATAAGATTTGATTATGGACTGTCCCCCAGCAGTGTGTTTTCAGTGCTTGGTCCCCAGATTGTGGTAGTCTTTTGGGATATTAAAAAATATTGTTCAATAGCTGATCTGAAAAGGGGTAGCTCATGAATCCCAGACTGATGGCTGGGAATCCAGCATGGGACTGATCAAGACCCCCTGAATGTGGGTGTCAGTGAGGAGGCCTAGGTAATCTATTGAGCCTTGGGCAGTAGATCAGTATTTATCCCAGGTATGCAAATGGACTTTGGATTCCCATCCAACAATGAGAGATGCACTCTCACCCTGAACTCTTGGGAGAGGGTTTAGGCCCTGCCCTGAATGAAATGACAGACTATGGACACCCCCATGGAGGGCCTCACCCTCCCTGGGGATATGAGAGGGTATGGGGGGGTTGGTGGGAGGGCACGGGAGGAGGAGAGGGAAAGGGAGAGGGACCTGGGATTGACATGTGAAGCAACCTTGTTTCTAATTTAAATTTAAAAATAAAAATTAAAAAAAATTGTTCAGCCGGCCGTTGGTGGCGCACGCATTTAATTCCAGCACTTGGGAGACAGAGGCAGGTGGATCTCTGTGAGTTCAAAGCCAGCCTGGTCTACAAGAGCTAGTTCCAGGACAGCCTCCAAAGCCACAGAGAAACCCTGTCTTGAAAAACAAAAAAAATTGTTCAATTTTATTTATGTTGTGTGTGTGAGTGTGAGTGTGTGTGCACGTGCACACGAGCACAGTTGCCTGCAGAGGCCAGAGGAGGGTGCTTTATCTTCTGGAACTATAGTTACATGTGATTGTAAGCCATGGGACATGGATGCTGGGAACTGAACTCTGATCCTCTCCAAAGCCAGTAAGCACTCATAACTGCTGAGACCTATATTATAATTTTTCCTTACATTAGAATTTTAAAAATGATATTTACTTACTTATTTTGAGGATGGGGTATGTGCCATAGCATGAAAGCAGAGCAATGGTTCTCAATCTTTCTAATGCTGTCACCCTTTAATACAGTTCCTCATATTGTGGTGACCCCCCAACAATAAGGTTATTTTGTTGCTGCTGGTATGAATCACAATGTAAATGTCTGTGTTTTCCCAATGGTCTTAGGTGACCCCTGTTGCTATGGAACAATACATAAATATGTATTGCTCTCATTGTTAATAAAAAGCTGATTGGCTGATGGCTAGGCAGGATTTTCAGGGCAAAGAGAATGCTGGGAAGAAGGGTAGAGTCAGAGAGTCACCAGCCAGACATGGAGAGGAAACAGGAGGTCCAAGATGAAAGAGAGGTAATGCCACATGGCAAAATGTAGAAATGGGTTCATTTAAGTTGTAAGAGCTAGTTAGTAATAAGCCTGAGCTATCAGCCGAGCATTTGTAATTAATATTAAATCTGTTTGGTTATTTGGGAACTGGGGGGTGGGAAAGAAAAGTCCACCAACACCCTGTGAAAGGGCCATTGAACCCCAAAAGGGTCACAATCCACAGGCTGAGAGCGGCTGAGGTAGGGATTAGAAGATGATTTATGGGAGTCAGTTCTCTTCTTCCACCATGTGAGTCCCAGTGGTCAAACTCAGACATGCATATCAAGTGCCTTTTACTGGCTGAGCCATCCCTCCCACACTGTGGTGCTGTCAGGGCTGGAGAGATGACTCAGCCGTTAGAACATTGACTGCTCTTCCAGAGGTCTTGAGTTCAATTCCCAGCAAACACATCATGGCTCACCACCGTCGCTAGTGGGATGTGATACTTTCTTCTGGCATAAACGCATACACGAAGGCAGAACACTCATACATAAACAAAATAAATAAGTAAATTTCAAAGAAAAAAAAAGAACCTGAACCCACCAGGGCAGTACTGCAAGGCCGGAGGCTAACCCTACTGGGGTAGCAACGGCTCAGTCAGCTGAATTACTGCTTGTAACATTTTGGAATCCAATAGCCTTCTAAAGTTTCCTTTTGTCTCCCTCCCTTGCTGCCCCAGGTGGTGGTGTTCTTGCTGATAAAACAACCTTGGAAACCTTGTGGGACTCGCTATGTGGCAGGGGTCTGTGCCATTAAACAGAGGTAAAGTTCATCTCTCTTCCATCCTTGGGATGGTTGAGTAGACTTGAGTCATACCCTAACCTCTTAGGCTACCTGCTCGTTGTCTCACCGGCACTTGGCTTCCCAACAGCTTCAAAACAGGCATGCCATGGCTTCCCACTGTGCACAAGGCTGGATCCCATGCACGCATCAGGCTCTTCCTTAATTTACTTTTTCCATTTCACCTTTTACTGTAAGCAGAGTGCAGAGTCAGGCCACACAGCTAACACTGTGCTGGGAATTGTTCCGATGAACATCCAAGCTCGTTGCTGGCAAGTTCTGCTTTCCACGCAGCACTGTGAGTCTGGCAAGACAAGGAATGGTTTGGTAACCTAAGATTTGGTTGCTAAGGACCGAAAGCCTTGCCTGTCCATACTGTGTGGACTCTTCCTTGAACAGTGCACCCAGTAACCTGAGAGCAGCCTAGGACTCATACTGCAGTGAGTGGCACTCCCCCTCCAGCCCCCCCCCCCGCCCCCGCTCCCCCCCCCCCCCGAACAATGGAGTAGTGTCTCTTCCCCTTAACCACCATCAAACTTAGGTTCTGCTCATTCACATTCTTTTTATGTCCAGTAGGAGACCAGAAAGGCCAATAAAGACCAGACACGCCGTCACTCTGGGTGTTTCTCATGAACACACTTGTCATTGGATCTGGGACAACTTGCAAAACCCAGGATGCCTTCCCATTGAGATCCTATATCTTCCAAATAATGTTGGAGCATCAGGAATCGGGTCCATTTTTCTGGGGACATCCTTCAGTTCTCCATCCTCCCTAATCTCCTTCAGGCCCCTCCAAACGTGTTCCCTGGCCTCCTCATGTAAAGTGCACACATGCACACACCTCTCCAAGCTCTCCTTTCTCCCTTCCCTCTATGGCATTTTACTCTTAGGTGTACATCTGCAGCTGGATGATTTATGAATATTTATTGGTCTTTCTGTCAGAACATAGCTTTATGAAGAGAACTTCTTAATCCAATCAATTAATTATTTTTTTAGGACAGGGTTTCTCTATGTAGCCTCCGCTGTCCTGGAACTTGTTCTGTAGACCAGGCTGGCCTTGGACTCAGGGATCTGCCCACCTCTGCCCCACTGAGCGCTGGGATTGAAGGTGTGCAGCCATCGCCCCTGGCATGGAGACAGATTTTTTTTCTACTACGTTGGAGTTCCAATGTACAAAACAGTGCATGGGAGACCTGAGAAGATAACCCAAAGGAGAGAGAGATGAGGGAGCGTGTGGTCCCACATGCCACCCGGAGCAGAAGGCAGTAAACGTAGGTAGTGTAGGAGCCTGGAGGAAGGGGCGCAGGGCACTGTTCAGTGGTTACGTGAGCTGGGCCAGGTGTGGAGGAGAGGTATGGGATTCCCAGAGCAGGACTGAGAGGGGGAGGGTCGCTGGTGGGCAGGACAGAAACTGGAAAGGAAGGAGAGAAAGGAGAGTATGAAGCAGAGAGGAGAGGCAGGAGCCTCCTTAGACTGTGGGTGGGCCATTGTCTAGCTTGCATGGGGACACTTCTGCTCCCACCTTAATGTGGAGGAAAACATCCTGTCACAGCTTCTCCTACTAGGAGACCCAGTCTGATGACCCCTTCCAAAAAATGGAGGGCAAAGGAGTTCCCCATTGACTCTCAGTGGCTATGTCTACCAAGGGGCCTTAGTGGACTGGTCTGGTTCTGTTGGTTGCAAGCAGCAAAGATTCAGTTCAAAACAGCTTAAACTATAAGGGCAAGTTGCTGCCCTGGGCTGTCAGAGCCCATCTCATAAGGGGCACATCCAGGACTTTGAGACAGCAGTAATTGGGCCATGCCTCTGCAGATGTTTCCCTGTAATCGCTCTTGCGAGGCCCCAGCCCAAAGACCTCCCAGGAGGATGAGATGGCAACCAGGACAGAAAAGACAGAACCAGGTGAGAGACCAGAGTGAGACTCCATAACTCAAGTCATCTGTCCCGAGCCTAACGTGAGTTAAGCTGCCAGGATAGAAGTCTCCTTAGCAATCTTATTCACTCTGGAAGACAGGGCCACTGGGTGTGGCAGAGCTGTCCAGGCTTCTCTCCTATGTGTCAGATATTTTGGTCCAATTTCCTATAGCCTCAAGAAAGACTCTGCCCATACCATAACTCCTAACACAGCCTTCAGCTTGGCAATATGTAGGACGACCTAGAAGTGGTGGTCCCCATCAGGTCACCCCCCAGGGTGCACCAGTGGCCTGAATCTCCCTTTACCCCCAGTAGGAAATATCCAGGTAATACATCCTCCGTCTTCTGTCTGCCCTTCTCTTCTCCTGTCTTGGACCATCAGCAATGAACTATGACACCTTCATAGGAATCCTCACCTCAGGCTTCCCTCTGGGGATGTCCAAACTGTAATATGGGAAGGACCTGCAGCTGCTCTATGGATTCCCCAAAGGTGACTCATTGGGAAACTCATGTTGAGACACAGTGCAGCTGTGTGAACAGGAGCCAAAACCATTCCAAACCCGAGGACAGCTGTTGAGGAGACTTTTGGGGACCTGCATGGGGTTGCTAGAGTGGAGATATGCTGCAGGGACCTTGGAGCCATTTTAGTCAGGGTTTTGCTGAGGGGTGGCACGGCTCAGAATTAAGCAGAGGTCTCCTTACCTTCTTGACTCATGGAGAACAGGGGGGAGGTTAGCCTATGAGAGCACTTGCTTGTGCTTGCCCACGGAGACGGGATCTGTGCCCCATTGTAGGTGGGGGTAAGAAGCGGCTTCCTGCGGTGGGTATAGTTGGTAACTTTAGAATGCACACACTCTGTAGCCCGGAGTTTCATCACACAGAGGTGCCCATGCATGCCAGGAAGTACCATATTTTCTGAATATATGACATTCTCCTATTCTCAGAGATCTTGAGATAAGCATTATGTCCAGTGGGATGACCACTGTCCAAATGAAAAGAAAATACCAGTCCCTGGGGAGGAGGTGGAAAGACTGGACCTCTCTGCACTGTTAGTATGAATGTAAAATGATGCAGCCAGTATGGAGAGCAAAACAGTGTTTCCTCAGAAATTACCACAGTATCTCATATGATCCATCAATCTCATTTCTGGGTATATACCCAAGAGAATTGAAAGCTGGGCTTCAGGGCTTCTGATACACCAATGTTCAGAAGCAGCACTAGTTGCAATATCCAGAGGGTGGAAGCAACTATGTCCACTGATGAATAGATACCCAAGATGTGGTATATCCACCCAATGAAATATTATTCAGCATTGAAAAGGAAGAAAATCCTCACACACACACTACAGCATTCTGTTAAGTGGAACGGGTTGCCAAAGACCATCAGACAACACAGATATTTACAATTCACGAAAGTAGCAAAATTACAGTTATGAAGTAGTAACAAAAGGGGTATTTTTTGACATAGGTTTTCTCTGTGGCTTTGGAGGCTGTCCTGAAACTAGCTCTTGTAGACTAGGCTGGTCTCGAACTAACAGAGATCAGCCTGCTTCTGCCTCCTGAGTGCTGGGATTAAAGGCATGCGCCACCACTGCCCGGTGCAACAAAATAATTTTATGGTTGGGGTCACCACAACATGGGGTATTAAAGGGTCACAGCATCAGGAAGGTCGAGAACCACTTCTCTAAAGGGTGGTTGGGAGTGTGTCGCTCAGTGGCAGAATGTTTCTTTAGCATATCATGGCCCTGAGTGCAATCTCCACAGAATAATAAAAATGTGTTAAGTCTATATACAAGTTTAAAGCATCACACTCGAGCTAGGAAAAGTAGTGCATGCCTTTGATCCCAGCACTCAGGCAGAAGCAGGAGCTCTGAATTCAAGACCAGCCTAATCTACAGAGCAAGTTCCAGGACAGTCAAGACTGCATTGAGAGATTCTGTCCCAAAACAAAACAAAACAAAACATCATGCATCAGGTAAAACATTACTTTAGAAATGTACTTTTAGCTGGGCGGTGGTGGCGCACGCCTTTAATCCCAGCACTCGGGAGGCAGAGGCAGGTGGATCTCTGTGAGTTCGAGACCAGCCTGGTCTACCGAGCGAGTTCCAGGACATGGTCCAAAAAACAATACAGAGAGAGAAACCCTGTCTCGAAAAACCAAAAAAAAAAAAAAAAAAAAAAAAAAAAAAAAGAACTGTACTTTTAGGGGCTGGAGAGATGCTTAGCAGTTAAGAACATTGCCGCTCTTACAGAGAGCCAGAATTGAGTTCCCAATATCCATCCACATTGGGTGGCTCATAACCACCTGTAACTCCAACTCCAGGGCATCCAACACCCTCTTCTGGCCTCCTTGAACACCTGCACACATGTTGGGATATACATATACACATAAATACAAATAACATAGGTCTCTAAGCAAGGAAATGTAGCTTTGTCTGTAATATTTAACAAAACAATTACTTAATTCTCCCCTCTCTCTCTCTCTCTGGGTGTTTTTTGAGATAAAGTCTCATTATTATTCCAGTCTGGCCTTGAACTTGCAATCACCATTTTCTAATCTTTTTTTTTAATTTTATTTTTTTAAAGATTTGTTTATCACATATAGTGTTCTGCCTACATGCCAGAAGAAGGCACCAGATTGAATTGTAGATAGTTGTGAGTCACCATGTGGTTGCTGGGAATTGAACTCAGGACCCCTGGAAGAGCAATCAATGCTCTTAACCTCAGAGCCATCTCTCCAGCCCCCACCATTTTCTAATCTTATTAACTCTTTTTGTTGTTGTCTTAGTTTGAGACAAAGTTTCTCTGTGTAGCCCTGGCTTTTGGTAACACGAGGTGTAGACCAGGATGGCTTCAAACTCACAGAGATCCGCCTGCCTCTGCCTCCCAAGTGCTGGGATTAAAGGCGTGCGCCGCCACTGAACAGTTCTCATTAACTTCTATCTACTGTTTGAGTTTGCTTACTCTGAAGAATTCATGCAATTCTGCCCTTCTGAGTGTGAGTCATTGCTGTGGAATAATCCTTCTATAGACTTTAAATTACACTGTGATTGGTTTAATAAAGAAGGTAACTGGCCAATAGCTGGACAGGATAAAGTTAGGTGGGAAAACCAGACTAAGGACACTGAAAAGAGAAAGGGCGGCGTCAGAGGAGTCACCAGAGAGACACAGGGAGGAAACAGGAGGTACAAGATGAAAGAGAGGTAACGCCACATGGCAGAATGTAGATTGATAGCCTGGCGGTGGTGGTGCACGCCTTTAATCCCAGCACTCGGGAGGCAGAGGCAGGCGGATCTCTGTGAGTTCGAGGCTGGGCTGGACCGACAGCCTCCAAAACAATACAGAGAAACCCTGTCTCGTAAACAAAACAAAACAAAACAAAAAAGAATGTAGATTGATAGAAATGGGTTAATTTAACTTGTAAGGGTTAGCTAGTAACAAGCCTGAGCTATTGACTGAGCATTTATAATTAGTATTGAGTCTCCCTGTAGGTTATTTGGGAACTGGAGGAGGGAAAGAAAAGTTTACCTACAACTCATTTACCATGATGTTTTCAAGGTTCACTCATGTTGGAGCACGGATGGGGATTTCACTCCCTTTATGGTAAAATATTGACACTGTTTGCTGGCAGGACAGATCCCATTGTGTTTAGTTGTCCACCAGATGTTGGACACACGGGTGGTCTCCATCTTCTGTCTGCTTCTGGCCTGTGCTTTTGAATCTTAGATACAGCCAGAAGAATGCAACCCAGTCTGGGGTCCAGCTGGCCATAGAACCTTTGGAAGGTTACCCCCAACCCCTCTCCCTCTTGGCTTGCTGACTACTGTGAATACATTTCCAGAATGGAGGAGCATAGAGGGCTTCATGGTTGAAAGCCTGTCGCCCTGGTGGTAGTCTTGCCTAGTGTGCAGTCTAAGCGGGGTTTGTGGATGTTCTCTGAGTGCCCCACAACTTCAGTGGTGCCCTGGCTTCTAACCTAGGGCCATGAGTCCTGTTCTCCTTCCTCGGGTTCCCTGGGCTCGGCAGTCATTTCAGGGGCTGCACCTGTGACCCGAGGATCAGCTGGAATAGCTTTCTGAGTGGCGAAGTCATGGCTCCCTCTCTCTGTCACTTCCCTTTGCTCACGTTCGAGATTCTTCTGGCTCTTACATTAAGTTGCAGTTTGTTCGTTTTCAGTACTGTTGAGTTTGTCTTTGTATATATAACTGAGATATAATGTATTAGCTCCCCCATCAATGGATGGTTGGTTTGTTTGAAATATTCAATTTTCCCAATCAGTGCTGTGACTAATATCCAATATTTGCCTTTTCATGGGTATATGCATGCATTTGTTGAATAAAGCTGCTGGGCATGTGATATCTCATACGTTTAGTTTGGACAAGTGATGCTGAATGGTTGTCTGCTGTTACAAAGTTTCTTTTTTGTTCATATTGGTTTATTTTGTTCTGTTTCCATGTTGAAGGAAGGGCCTACCCTCAGTGGTGAATGCTCCACCACTGAGTCATGGGCCCAGCTTTTCAAAGTCACACTGTCTCAGTCCTCATCACCACTGTAAGAGAGTCCAGGTTGTCCTGCTCCCATGTCAACACTTAGTGTTGTCATCATTTGCACCTCAGCCGTTCTGGTAGATTGGTTGCTACTGTGTTGGTTGTCTTAGTTTCTCTTTGCCTGACATCTAGGCTTCGAAGTTGGACATATTTTCATCTTTTTATTGGTCGCTGAGATACTTTTTCCAGGTAAAGTAATGGTCAAGCCATCTATGACTGTTGTCCTGAGGGTTTTTTTGGGGGTGGTGGTGGTTTGTTTTGCAGAATTACATATGCAGATATAAACCCTTTGCTAGATTAGTATTTTCTCCAGGAGCCTTGCCTTCCTTGTCGCAGGGACAGCTGGTGGGTGAATGGACGTGATCGTCACTAGGTGCTTTCTGAAGTAGTCTTTGAAGGTTTGCTCAGTGTCTGCTTGATAAATCACAGCCCCAGGAAAAATGACTAAATCTGAATTAAATACCTTCACCTCCTTTTTTCCCCCTGAGGAGTTCTGCTGGGTGACTGCCACCAGCACCCAAATTAGAAACTGCTGAGGTCATTTCAGGCCATTGTGCCTTCTTCAAATGGTTACTTCCTTGCTTAAAATAAAGGAACCAGGAAAGCCAGTGCTTGCATTAGAACTTGGGCAGACAGGGACTCCCTCTTCTCCAAGGGATTATTCTGGAGAGGAAAAAGGATGAAAACTTGCCTAATATTTCAGCATGGAGTGTGTGTGTGTGTGTGTGTGTGTGTGTGTGTGTGTGAGAGAGAGAGAGAGAGAACTAGAAATGCCCAAATACCAAATGCCCTAATTATATACTCTAATTTGGTCATATCCGTCTAACAGATGACTGAAGAATCGTTTAAAAAGCAAGACAAGATGTATCAACAGTGAAGAGCACCTGCTGCTCTTGTAGAGGACCCAGATTCAGTGCCCAGCACATGATCGTTTACAAACATCTGTAACTCCAGTCCCAGAGAGTCTGCTTACCCTCGGCTGGCTTCTGCCAGCACCAGGGTACATGCAAGCAAGACACTCACCACATGTCTACAGCCATACCACCCTGAACATGCCCAATCTCGTCTGATCTCGGAAGCTAAGCAGGGTCGGGCCTGGTTAGTACTTGGATGGGAGACACTCACAAATCTAAAAGAGACTTAAAAGGTTTTTTGGAAAAATATAAGACAAGGCGAACTTATGCAGGGGAATACAGTCTGAGGAGGGGAAAAGAACAATTCGCAAACAAGGTTGAACAGATCAGAACACCATGTGGGTTCGGCTCTTTCTTGTAACACGTGTGATCTATTTGGATGGACCACAGCCAGAGGTGAGAAGGGGGTGGGGCACACAGGGAGAGGACAGTGGAATGCCTTTGCAAACCATCTGGATGATTCAAAACATGTAAAAAATCCACATACACTTATTATTTTAAATACTAATTTAAAGTGGAAAACATTGAGATCTAGAAGTGGAAAAGAAAGTGACCATCCCAAGAAATGTGTGCATACATTTCCTCTGAACCCTTAACTGTCCCCTCCAAAGCCATTCAAACTTCTAAGGCAGGCATGCTCAGGAGGATCCTGAGTTTGAAGCCAACCTGGGCTACACAGTAAGACCTTCTCTCAAAAAAGAATCCTGAAGCAGACCAAACAAGAAACCACTTCTCCCTGCCTTCCTGCAATGGGGTGCCCCGAGGTAAAGAGCTAGTTATGGGGTGAGGTCTCCTTTGGGGCTCCCTCTCTCATTGTGAGGACCCCATAACATTTCCAGACGACCTTGGAACAGTGGAAAACCTGCTTTCTCTTTCTAGAAACCATTATTTACTGCATGGAGTGGGGAAGTAGAGGCCAGAGGACAACTTTCAGAAGTCAGTTCTCACCTTCCTCCAGCTGAATTCTGAGAATAAAACTAGGATCTTTGGGCTTGGTAGCAAGTGCCTTTACCTGACGAGCTATTTCACCAAACCCTAAAACGTGTTTTGTTTTGTTTTGACAATTTCTTTGTGTAGACTTGGCTGTTCTAGAACTAGCTCTGTAGACCAGGCTGGCCTCGAACTTACAGAGCTTGGCCTGCCTCTGCCTCTCAAATACTGGAGTTAAAGGTGTGCACCACCACCTTGAGGCTAAAGCATGTTTTTCTTAGTAAAAAAACAAGAGCACAATCCAAACCGGGGCTATGTTTCTTTTCACATCAACATGAAGTCACGTTTTGTGTGTGGTGGCTTGAATAAGAAAGGTCCCCATAGGCTCATATATCGGAATGCATGTCATTAAGGAGTTGCACTACTTGAGAGGGCTTAGGAGGTGTGGTCTTATTGGAGGCAATGTGTCACTGGGGGCGGGCTTTGCGGGTTTCAAATGTTAGAGCCAGGCCCAGTGTCTTTCTCTTCCTGCTGCCTGTGGTTCCGGATGTAGACCTCTCAGCTACCTCTCCAGCGCCGTGTCTACCTGTGTGCTGCCACGCTCCCCACCATGATAATGGACTAAACCTCTGAAAGTGCAAGCTCCAACTGAATGTTTTCTTTCACGACTTGCCACAGTTATGGTGTCTCTTCACAGCAATAGAACACTGATAAGACAGTGTGTGTGTGTTACATGTTCATAATTTTCAAATTGTGCATGTTAGTCTCCTTGATGAAAGGGCTTGGGAATGCAGGTGTCTAGAGCGACTCCTTGTGCATCCTGGGCAAGCTGCTTGAAAGAGGCAGACAGCACACATTTCAGACTGGGGCTCACCCAGTCACTGTTGTTATTAGACTGTGCTGTGCAGCAGAGACAGCAGCAGCCAATGGACATGGAGGGGTGTGGCCAAGCGGTAAGAGAGCCCTGTAGAAGCGCATAGGAGCTGGGTTAGGTTGGACGTCCTTAGCCCGCAGTTCCTGCATCCCACGCTCACCAGGCTCGACTTTTTGCCGAGTGGATGAATGCACTGGGGAAAAGGTCGCTGGCAGGGCAACCAGTGGGACAGGGGCTTTACTGAATGGAGGTCAGTTTTCATGCCACTTCAGACCTCATTTGCTGTGTGACACTGGGCCTCGGCTCCTGCCAGGAAATGGAGGCAACACTCCCATTTGCCAGACTGCACGGGGAAGATCAAAGGTCATGGTCTTACCTGCCACAGGAACAGCAGATTCCCATGGGCAGCTCAGAGAAGGAACTGCCACTTCTTAGAGGTCCGGTGGCCTAGGGAATGTCAACTTGGCACAGGAAGAGGGGGTGGGGCCAGCCGACAACATGACCCGAAACACAAACAGTCCCCCAGAGGGGCCGAAACTCTCAGGTTGGTGAAAACACGCTTGTCAGGTTTCTGTGCTGCCTCTGAGCAAAACCTGGGATGGTGGCCCGGCCTGGTCTCAGTTGGCAGTGCTGACAGAAGCTGGCAGGAGGTCTCCTGGCCGCTAGAGTAGCCTTGAGTGCCCCAGACTGCTGACTGGCCAGGTGACTTTCTCATGAGGGCCAGAGAATGTCCTGTGGAGGAATCCAAGGCTCCCATCTCACTGGGGACCACCTAAGATCCTCTCAGGGTGGCCTTCGAGAGCAATTTGGAGGTGTGTGTGAAGAGACAATACAGTGTTGGGGCTCTGGGCAGCTCAGGCTCTTTGTAACTGTGTCAGGGTATAGACTCACTGTAAATAATTTTCAGGACCTAGAAAGGTGTGGTCAGGGCCCTAGGGCTCCAAGGGGATTGCAGAGGGTTCGAACAGCAAAACTGGGCACCTCTGGGGGGGGGTTGTTCTCCTAGACAGTGGGGAGCCATTGGCAGAGGGAGGGACTGCTGACAGGGTTCCTCTGTCCCCTAGCTTAGGAACTGTGCTTGCTCCCCTGGGCACGGGGGTGTCTGTCCTTCAACTAGAAAGCTAGATTCCCAGTGCATGGGCCTAGGTTCTTCAGAGCAACCCTGTGTGGGCAAAGTCCTGTCCAGAGAGCAGAAGACTCTGTCCGAAGGTCAGCAAGGGTCTGGGGGATGCCGCAGTAGGTAAGAGTGATTGCTGTCCAGACCCTGGGACTGGAGTTCAAACCCACAGCACCCACATGAAAACCCAGGGGGCTGTGTGTGCCCATAGCTCCAGTATGTGTACGGGGAGCGGAACAGCGGAGGCAGACACTGGGAACTCACCCAGCTGCAACACCTTCCAGTTCAGCGATAGCTAAGGACTAAGGTGGAGGGTAGAGGAAGACACTCGAAATCCTCCTCTGACCTCCGTGTATGTGTGGAGGCCTCAGGCATACACATGCACATCCAAAAAAAAATAATTTAAAAGGTCAGCAAGGGGTCAGGGCCTGGAGATCCCAGCAAGGGGTCAAGCTAAGAGGATTGCAAGTTCGAGACAAGCCTAAGTTGCACAGGCAAGACTACCTTAAACATAACACAAATCAAACCCCGTGTATGTGGGGTGGTGGGGGTCATGGCCCAGTCAACCTTCCCTCTAGGGCTCAGGATTCCCAACTACCCAAGCGGCTGAGTGTCTGGGGACCACAGGTTTTAGGACCCTGTTGGTTGGGTTTTGGATCACAGTGGGGCACAGCTGCCCCTCTGTCTGGGGACGAGGAATAATTCCTTAGTGGATCCAGCCTGTTGCTGTGGTATGCTGGGCGTGGATGACACCGGATGTCCAGGAGGAGCCTGGGTGCTGGCTTAAAAATGGGAGAGTGGAGGCTATTTCGGGAAGCCTGAAATGGGGAGACACGTGGTGTGGGAGGTGTTGGGCACTCAGGGGAGAAACCTGAGCTAAGGCTCAGCACTTGGGAAGCGGCACCAGTCCTGGGGTGGGGCAAGGAAAGGGCTTGGCAGCTGGGAGGGAGCCATGGGACCAGAATGCCACTCCTCCCAGGCACCTGTCCTCAGGCTCCTCTGACCTTTGGCCCCTCCCCACAAACACTCCTGGAGAGGCAGCAGAGAAGCCACACTGTCCAGCGCCTACCCCCACCCCACCCCAGTATTCCCAGTAGGGGTATTCATCACAAACCACAGAGAGCCACATCTCTCCTAGTACCGATTTTCAGGTCTCTAGCCTGTTTGAATTAGACATGGCGGTCAGTGCCAGCCTACAGACTAGGACTTTGGGCTCAGAGAGGTGAAGTGACCTGCCAAAGAACACACAGCTTCAAAGTTATGGTCAGCAGCTGGGGGCCTATAACCAAGGGCAGGCCAAGTAATGAGTAAGAGTAAGAGCTACTTTAGCCAGAAGTGGGAGGAAACTCAGCTGCCTTAAGGGTGGAGGGTAGGAATCTAGGAAGGGCAAGAAACATAATGTGGGTTTTGAAGATGCACAATTCAGACTGGATGAAATGGACGGGAAGGGTTTTCTCAGGGAAGGAACGGCTTGGGCAAAACCTTAGACAACTGGGATGGAATACGTAGCCTACTGGGGTCACTGATACTTTATGGGATATGAGGGGTGGGATGAGGCGGCTGGACCCTGACTGTCCTGATGCCTGGACCGTCCAGGCTTTATAACATCTGATGGAGAGCTGCTCGCCATCCTCCGTGGTTTCTTTGGTGGGGACATAGGGCCTGTGACCCAGGGCTGTGGCAGCAGAACTGGGGGATGGCTGGGTAGAAAGACCCGCTTCTCTCAGACTGCACAGAGGGGACTGCAGAGCCCTGGATGGACAGGAAGCCTGTCATTCCTTCTGCACTGGAGAATGGCCTCTGTGTGCACCACAACAAAAAGGCTTTTCTGCCAAGTGGAGGAGAGGAAGTGGCCAGGCTTGCTCAGTCCAACCCAAGCTTGAAAGGAAGCTCTGTCCTAGGCCCTGGAAGCTTGGATGCACAGAATGAAGGCTGGGGGGGTGGGTGTCCCGTCCCTGTCTATTCCTCATCAGCATCAGGTGGGGGGGGGGGACAGGGCTTTGCCAAATTGGTCTGCCTAGGTCTGATCCTAACATGGTGACTTCCTGGCTGTGTGGCCTTGGCCACGTCACTTCCTCTCAGAGACCCCGAGTAAGTTGTGAGAAGGCACATGCTGGTTGGTCAGGGTCATAATCGTACATTAGACATGACCAGTGCCAGGCTCCTGCCACCCTTTCTTCTTCATGGAGTCCAGTCTGGGCATACTCCTCCTCTGCAGCCTGGACTTCGGGGCAAGGGGGGCGGGGCCCCAGGCACCTGAGGCTGCAGCTCCAGTGTCATAGGCAAGGGGTTGAAAATACCACCGGGCGGTGGTAGCTCACACCTTTGGTTCCAGCACTTGGGAGGCAGAGGCAGCCGCATCTCTATGAGTTTGAGACCAGCCTGGTCTACAAGAACTAGTTCCAGGACAGCCTCCAAAGCCACAGAGAAACCCTGTCTCGAAAACAAAACAAAAACGCCCGGCTGGAGATTATAGTGACTCATGTATCTTCTTGAATGTCTTATTTAAAAAAAAATACTTGAGAATTAGCAAAATGTCAAGAAGGGATGTTGAGGGAATGGGGGTAGCCTCTGATTTCTTGGGCTGTAGCTGAGTACAGAGGGTGGCTTATCAAGCAGTTCCTTGAGGAGCCATGGCCTGTGTCAAGTCCTCCTCTGGCCTTGGCTCTAAGGAAAGGCTAAGAAGGGCTACAAGACCAGAGCCTTGCGCGTCTCCCACCTGACCTGTCTGCTGATCACAAGCAGAGGGAGCCTAGGCTGGGGTCCCAGGCTTGCGCTGCTCTGCAGGGAAGTCAGGATGTCTCCTCCCTGGTCCCTCCCACTGCAGCTCTGAGTCCCCTGTGCTGAGCTCAACTGCTTCCCGGGTGAGCCAGAAGCTCTGGGTGTTGAGGGCCAGCCCTTCCAACTCTCCTCAGCCTATACAAAGAGAGGAAGGGGTGGGGCGGGAGGGGGGTCCGGGTTAGGGAATGCTGTTGAGGGACCTTGCTGTGGCAGCCCAGCCTGCTGGGTGACGGAAGTGAGACCCTGATTTGGTCTAGGGTTGAACATGGACACAGGATTTCAGGTGGACCCCAGTTCATCAGGCACACCCAGGTCCACTGCACCCTTGCAATCATGGGGACTGTGGTAGGGCTTTCTGCCCCAGCAATGACGAGACAGCAGGTCCTAGTGTGCTTCAATCTCTGAACATTGAAAGTTTTTGGAGGCAAAGTGGCCCCATTACCCAGCTCTCTCCAGGTTCACGCCTGAACTCTGTGCAAGCCACCTCCCAGGCTGCCCAAAACCCAGTGGAGGTGGGTGATTGTGCGGACTTGCCTGACTCTTCCTACCCCTCCTGGATGTGGAGTATATGGGAAACTGGGCTGTCCTCTCTCATCAGCACCAAAACCCTGCAACCCCACACCCTTCTAAACCCTGACCCTCCTGAACTCCATCCCAAAGATCCTACCAAACTGGAAGTGGTGACTTCTTCAGCATCCCAGCTTGGCCCCAACCCTGCCAACAGGTCTTCCTTGCTGTACGCTACAGTCTAGGCTTACAGACGCAGCCACACTCGCCGGCTGTACATTTAATCAGTTCAGATTATTTAACAGAACTAAACGATGGGGTGGATGCCGTCCCCACCCCTTGCTGGCTCTTGGGTTCTGCAGATGGACACCCCCCACCCCCAGTGCCAGGCTGAGAATCCACCAATCTGAGAGAGGTGGTGACCTAGAGGATTCTGGGTGGTGGCAGCCCTTCACTGCTCAAGGCTTAGGGAGGCAGAGGGGACCAGAGCCAGCTGTACAGTACCATTTCCCACAGAAGCCTCCTGCTGACTCCAGAACGGAAAGAGGAAGGGAGGCCCCCTTTCACCCTTAGGACAGACTTCCCAGGCCATAGTGGATTCCTTTGGGGGTTCTATAGTCCATGTGGGGTGAGCTGCTGGCCTGTGCCTAGTAGTGTCATGTGGGGAGAGAAATCTGGAGGGGAGGAGGCCCACAAGCCTGGTCTATGGCATCCTGGGCACCCATACCATTAGGCACTGTTTGGGGACCTTTAGTCTGTGTGCCTGCCAGCCCCATCTCTCCAAGGGTTGGGACAGGGACAGCAGAAGCCACAGGGTGAGGGAGTGCCCAGCGTCCTGAGACCTGTGGGATTGATGAGAGACAGTGCGGGCAGCCTAGGGAAGGAGAGGCTAGTCGCTAGCATTAGGAGGGGAGCTCGGCAGGCTCCCTTTGGTCCTTGGTGAGACAGGTCCAGGGCCCATTCCTCACAGAAAGGAGCTGCAGGCCCAGGGGCATGTGGGAGCTGCTGATGGCCAGAATAGGGGAGGGCTTTCAGGCTCTCAGACGTAGCCAAAGACAGGGCCAAGCAGCAAGGTAATGAGGATGGCCCCTGGGCCATATGCTCTTCCTAAGGCAAATTCAGGAGGGTAGAGCCCCAGCTAGGCTCCTTCAAGGCAAACACAGCTCTTGTCACAGGAGGACAGGTTCAGGCTGAGGAGAGCCAGAGCTGAAGAAGCTTCCCAACCCTCTGCCACCTTCCAGAGGTAAGCCTCTGTCCCTCGGTCCCTGTCTGGAGCGGTACACTCAGAGAACAAGCATCACCTGGCCCCAGTCAGGAGCGCAGAAACAAATGCTCAGAGAAGGCGTCAAAGAAAGAGACGCCTGGGCATAAATAAGAGAGGGCAAGACTGACAAGGGGTGTGTGGCTAGGAGGGAGCCCCGCTGGGCTGAGAAAGCGTCTGGGAGCCACACGCCTGCCCCTGTGGACCTGAGCACCGGGCGCTGTGGGTGTGTGTGTGATCACACCCACTCCTGCAGCGAGCGCTTGCAGTAGAGCAGCATGCGGGGTGCGCCCTTGCGCTGCATCTGCACCAGGGCAAAGGCCAGGCCCAGGATGCAGAGCAGCAACAGCAAGGGGACCAGCACCATCACCACGTTCACTGTCCGGACCACCTCCTCCATCTGCACGACCACCCGGCTGCCTTCGTCCTTGTCACTGACGTCCTCTTCCTTGCCGTCGCCATCTGCCTCAGGCTCTGCACCCCCGTTGGGGTTGAAGGGTGGACGAGCCACATCGGGCCATCGTGGCCGGGGCTCCACATGCTCCTGGCAGCCCATGAAGTCCCGCAGGATGGATTTAGGGTGGCCGGGTTCCATCCTTAGGCGCTCATTGTTGAATTTCCAGTATTTGGTGCCCTTGTAGAAGTAGGTGTAGGCTATAGGGACAGACAGGCAGGATCGTTTCAGCCTGGGGAAGGTGTGTAACTTGGTAGCAGAGCACTTGTAGAACATGCTAAGTGGCTTCCCAGAACCAAAACCAAACCAGAAAACAAACAAACAAACAAAATACCTTCCCTCACTTGCTTGCCTGTGTCTTCTCAAATCTGCTACCCTGCTGTGGCTCAGGGGATTCTGGGTCCCCAGATTCCTTGGCCAGGCTGACAGGGCACAGAAGGGGCCCATGGTCTACCAGAATCTGGGTGTCATGGAACCCTGCTACTCATCGCAGGATTGGCTTTATTACCAAGCGTAGGAGCCAGCGGGACTGTGTGGCCTTGGCCTTCATAGACCTGGCGTGAAATCCAGTGCTGCTGTAGATTAGTTCCTGGCCTTGGGTACCTTGTGTGTATCCCACAGACAGCAAGAAGGGTCAGGTTTGAAGCAAGGGGCGTGTCTGGGCTTTAATTTTGCAAAATTTGAGCTCAGAGTGGCTGCAGCAATGCCCGCACACAGTCACATGATCAGGCTGAGCACTGACAAAGCCCACAAGTCTGCCCTGAACACCAATGTCCCTGATAAGAATCAGACCACAGGGACCCTGCTGGAGAACTAACAGAGTCACAACTCCTGTCGTTCAGTTACAGTGACACATAGTAGGCTCCTTTTGCCGGTCTGTGAGAACTACCTGGAGAGGACCCTGCTCCAACACTGAACCAGACCCAGGGCCCTGAGGTTTTGAGTTCCTGAGCTCCAGCTCTGCACACAGACAGGCATGGGAGGCACCTAGATGTGGGTCTCTCCAATTGTGGGG